TCCTGTAGCTTGAATGGAGTATGCAAGGATTGCACAACGGTAATCCAAATAACTCTTATCTGATATACTTTGTTATGTATGCTTTATATTACAATGTGCCAATAGGCAAAATGTGTTCTTCAGTTTCAATTATCTTTTTTACTTTGGCTTTTGAGAGATACTTCTTGGACATTTTTCACATCAAGTGAGAATCATGTGGTGAATACCTCAGTTTCATGGAAATCATTAAGCCAACAGAAAACTGACTGTTGACTAACATTTGGTATCCTTCAGTGTTTCCGTCATTCAGATTTAGCAAATGGTCGCCCTACAACTGAACAATTTCGAGAGAAGCTTCCATGGTTCCTGAATGCGTTACCTTCCAGTGATTGTGCTAAAGGAGGCAATGGGGCTTACACCACTAATGTGGAGCTTGAAGGTTGATCAATTATATGTATATTTGGCTGTTTCTTTTGAACATGATGTTGATCCTTGCAGCTCCCATTAATTATATCTTTGTTCTTTTTGTTTTGTTCATCAGGCTATGAGGATGGTATAATTAAAGCATCAGCCTTTCGTACATATCACACGCCTCTTAACAAACAGGTATATAATCATTCACAACCCTTTACCTTATAGTTCACTAAACTTTGTCTAGGGGTCCATGTGTTCGATCTTAACCCGTCTTCTTCAGGTTGACTATGTCAATTCTATGAGGGCTGCACGAGAATTCAGTTCAAGGGTTTCTGATTCTCTAAAGGTAATTTCTGAATGCAGCATAATGAAGTATTGATATCATTTTCAGGAGCTTAACTGTGTGGCCTCTTTTTGTTGTCTCTACCCATTTTTTTTAATGACAACTACCAAGATTATCTCTTTCCTTTTTGATTTGTTCATCTATCAGTTTATACATTCTGGTGATAAACTAATGGTACTGTCTGCAAGCAAGTTGTGGTTGTACTCCTGTTTTATTTCCCATTATAGCTTGCAGAGCATTGTCATTCATGTATTCAACTCCTTTTTTTGTGTACTGATAATTACAGTTTATTTAAGAATATTAAGACTGTTATATCAAGTTTGTTGATGCGTCATGAATGTGAAATATGGTAATTTGAAAAGTAAAGCAGCAATAAGGTCTTTTATATAGAGTACTCTTACTTCCATTTGAAAAGTAAAGCAGCAATAAGGTCTTTTATAGAGAGTACTCTTACTTCCATTTATATAAATTCTGATTGTACCCGAACAGAAGGAAGATAATCTGGAGTGGTGATTATCTGATCCAAAAACCAAAAAGGCATGTTATAGTTGTAATATGAAAGTTTTAGAAAGTTTAGGTGAAAAAAATCATTGTGGAACTTTCAAGAGATTCTGGAGGTTAGATATTTGTATATCGTGTCTTGTAGATTTTATCTAACTAGAAAATACTTATCTGTACTTATAAGATTCGAGGTAAAAAGGAAGAACAAAACATAGTGCCATAAATGGAAATTGTGTCCAAGTGATAGAGTTTTACACCCTACAATTAAACCCTATAATAAGCTGCTTCTGATCTGTGATTCGTCCCATTATCTTCGTCCAGGCAATCACACACTTGGCATGCATTTCCATAAAAAGAGTTCTGTGTATTAGCTATGACTTACCTCTTTCGTTTGTGCAGATGGAGGTCTTCCCGTATGCAGTGTTTTATATGTTCTTTGAGCAATATTTAAGCATATGGAGGACAGCCCTAATTAACTTAGCGATTGCTATTGGTCAGTCTCATCTCTCTGTACTTAATTTAATGCACCTTTCAGCTGATGCATGATATAACTTTGACTATATGGATATTTTGAAAAAAACATTCTCTTTTTATCTGCTGGTTATCATTTCTATTTGGAAGCATTGGGTAGTTTTAAAACGGCTAAGACCATTGAGAGACATTAACTATGTATTTTATTTTTTCATTTTCAACAGGTGCTGTATTTATTGTATGCTTAATTATCACTTGTAGGTTAGTAGATTATCTCTTGGAATGCTATCCCATTCCTATCCTTTCTTGAACAAAACACACTTATTTTTTGTATTTGTAATATTAACTCTGTTTTGTTTGACCTTTGCTAAATCTAGTTTTTGGACTTCAGCAATTATCTTGCTTGTGCTGACCATGATTGTTCTGGATCTTATGGTATATTTTCCTCTTTGAACAATTGTTTGAGTTCATATCATTGCACCTGATTTTCTCTCTCTAGCAGTGACATCTTACATCGTTTTGCAGGGAGTAATGGCAATTCTAAATATCCAGCTCAATGCTGTATCAGTTGTTAACCTTGTGATGGCCGTTGGTATTGCTGTTGAATTCTGTGTCCATATAACACATGCCTTCTTGGTTGGTCTTCTATCAGAGTGATCAATCTGGTCTACTTTTCTTGTTTAAAATAATGAGAGAATGAAGATCAACTTGAGTAGGTTAAGTAAGAGAATACTGTATATTAAACAAATATAAAGTCTGCAAAGAATTGAGAAGGGAATCTGTGTCTGAGTGAGTAGAATGAATGACTAAAAAGTTCAAATAAATCTTTATGCCTACGAAGTTAACATTTTATTTGAAGTCAACATTTTATTTGGCTCTATAACCCTTTGAGCGAGGTTTCATTATTTGTTTTCTTTTCCTATTTTCCTGTATGTTCTGTTAGAGGCATTCATCCTGTAGTTCTCTCTTTAACATTCTTCTGCACTTAATGCAGGTTAGCAGTGGAGATAGAAACCAACGCATGAAAGAGGCGCTGACTACTATGGGTGCTTCTGTATTCAGGTCTGGCATTCTCTACTATTGAGGAAGCTGGCATGGATTATGTCTTCTGATCTCTCCTTATGTTAGAGCGCGTAAAAAAATAAATTTGATTTTACTGTTCCATTTTATTAATTAAGTGAATCTACCTTCAATGGTCAAGTCTGCCATTCAATTGGATTAACAATAGTGTGTCAGTGTGTTTATAAACAGATGTCACTATGCGTCCTTTCTAGAGCAGTAATTAAGCACTAACAGGATAGTAACATGATATGAGTACATGTCCATGAATGTTCAAATTTTAGGACATTATATCATATAAAATGAGGAACTGTCAGGAATGGCTAGTCATGTCAAAACAAATTTGAAAAATAGGAATTATATGGACCTGTAATGAGGCTTGCATAAGAAACTAGAAAAGAATCTAATTCCATTCAACCTATGCTTACTGGCACATTGAATAGCTAATGGACCTAAAAGAGCATGATTAATTTGAAGCTGTTAATGCAACAGAGGAACACAACAAATATCTGTCTTTTAAATAATGGTAGATATTGAAGAAAATATATATCTGTTAAAGAATTCTCATTTTTTTCAACTATTCCATCTTTTGCAGTGGTATCACGCTTACAAAGCTTGTCGGTGTCATTGTTCTTTGTTTTTCAAGGACAGAAGTTTTTGTGGTATGTCTACTTGCATACAAAGTCATAAATGGAGTGAGCTACTTGTTCTGGTTACTTCACATCTTAACCTACATTTTGCAGGTTTACTACTTTCAAATGTACCTGGCTTTGGTTCTCCTTGGTTTTCTACACGGGCTTATATTTTTACCTGTAAGTGACTTGAAGTAATAGCATCCTCTTTTCTTCCGTTGAGAGTATTCTCTCTTTCACAACCTTCAAAACAAATCATTAATGCTATTAATTATTACCGAAAATCTTTAATCCTAAATTAAATATATGTAAAAAATCTTCTGTGGTGAGTTTTGACTTAGCACAGTCTTTTTCATCTTTATCTTTTACTCTCTGATTAGAACTAAGAAGTTCCATCATTTTTCTTTTAAGTAGCAAATGAAAAGTTAATGGAAGATTATATTGGTCGCAATGCCAAATCCTTGAGAGATATAAATTACCATATGAGTACAAACAATTTAGCTTGTGTACTTGATCCTTAGTTTTACTTAAATGTCTTAAAATTCTTAAGTTGACGATTATATTGGTAGCAATGCCAGATCCCTTAGAGATGTAAAACTGTGTTGGAAATAATTCAAGGAGATTTTTGACACTTGAAGCAAACTTGACTATGCCTTCTAAGTACTCCACTTGCACCACCTCCATTGCAGGTACTATTAAGCATTTTTGGTCCGCCATCAAGATGTGTGCTTGTAGAGAAGCAAGAGGATCGGCCATCTACATCTTCCCAATTCTAATCTAATCAGGTGTTAAAGAGTCTCCTCTGTAGGAAATATATTCTTTTTTCAGAAGCCACGACTTGATGTTTGATCCATAAGATAGCAAGCAGGATAATTGGTGGTCTACCTACAGCACAATTCTGATACAAGCTAATGCATTAAAAAGAGCTGCCTTTTGTAGGGATACATGATCTTTTCTCTTTTTCTCTAGATTTTGTGGGTAGTAGAGGGAGCCCTTGAATGTTCATGGCTGCATGTATAACCTTCTGAAGAACACATCAAAATAGTTTTGTTAATTGTAAATTAATACAATTATATTTCTCTGTAAAAGAAGTAAAAAAAGAAAGGTATATATACATATCTTTTGTTTCTCAGTCCTCAATTTTGTGTCTCTTTACTTTCTGCACTGCCTGGTTATATATGGAAGTTTATCTCTTGCAATGTTTATATGAAGAAAAAAGATGTTAGTTATTTCATATCCTCACAAGTTCCTTTGTGCATATTTCTTTTCCAAATCTTCCACTTGAAATGGATGGAAATTTGCAACAGAGGCTCACTTAACCTTACACTTACAGACAAGACCTTGTTTTATGCACAAGTCAAATAAAAACCCTCTTAACATTTGCCCATTATGCTCAAATTATTACATTATACCATTAAAACTTCTAACAGCAGATCCAACTAGAGTAAGGTCAGAATCAGCAAGAGAGCAAGGTCAAATTCTGAAGTCAGTATTAAACCAGATAAGCATGCAGCTTCTGGGAAATAGGTTCATCTGAACTCGGTATTTTTGATACATATACACGAAAAATAATTAAAATTTCAATAAATTATTAAAATTTGAATTATAATGAGTTTTGAGTACTCTAGATGAAACAATAATAGCCTTACGGCTCAATACTAGTTCATAGCAGTCAAAAGGATTGACTTACATGAAGACTCAAACAGAATGAATTTACAATTAAGCAAGCAACATTTCTTCAAGTCTCATACCAAATCTAATCCTAAAAGGAAACTATATTCATTTTGGTAACTACTTGCAACTAGGGGGTATACCAGTTGTCTACTGTACTAGTATAGGACTGCTGCTACCGAAAGAGCTTCCATAATGATGCTGTGAATCTTGAACTAAGATGAGCTTGATCATTTGGATTTGGGAAGACATACAAACATCGATGCATTCTTCCAAGTCTGCATCACATGTTAATAGAACCCACTCGGAGTCATCATCAAAGTACTTGAGTTGAAGTCCACTAGGATCATCTATGCCAAACCGCCTTGTAATTTCTCTCAGAAGATCATTGTATCTCCAACTGTTTTGCATTCGGAACCTAATCTTTTCTTCTCCATGTGTTACTTTTACTCGTGGAGCTTCTTCTTGAGATGTTGATGGACTCCTCTTCACTAGAGGGTTTTCTGATTTAGGATTCTCAGCAACACATGCATGGCTTTGAGATCTTGGTATGATCTTTAGTGCTTCACTTGATAAATGAAGTTCTGGTTCACTTTTAACCCTTTTCACTGCATTATCTACAGACTTTTCCTGTACAATTAGATCGTCATCGCCAACAATATTCAAAGGGTGAGATTGAGGCGATTTAGGCTTTGTCCCAGATGAACAACATTGACTTGAACTTGAACTTCGACTGCTGGAAGAGGAGGGTGACTTAGATGCATCAGGATTGGGGCTCGTAATGCATCCCTCTTGTTGCGTGTTCAAGGCTGTTGAATGTTCATTTGACTTTGAGTCTGCAAAAGGGCTCATTCTTGATGCATTTGGAGAAGCCAACTCTGGGAAGTTTGAATAGAAGGATTCAATTTGTAAAGTGCCAGAGGCACCCTGAACTGAATCAATAACACGTTGGATCTTTTGTAAGGAGTGACCAACCTTCTTGATCTTTCGAGAAGGCCAGCGTTTAATTCCGTGCTGCCTGCATATCCTCTTCAGAGTGGTAGGACAAACTGTATTTCAAGAGAGCACAGGTAAGGAGGGGAAGGAAGAAATAGCAAAAAACAAAGTTAAAATCCTCATACGTAAAAAGTCCTAGAGAGTAACGCAACCAATAGGATCAGCGTAAAATTTTTAAAAATACATGAGAAAGTAGAGTTATAAGTGCACACAGTGAAACTTTGGATCTTATCCATGAAAATTACTCCTTCCGTTTTAATATGTTTGTCCGGTTTTAACTTGGCACAAAGTTTAAGAAAGTAAAGAATACTTTCGAATCTTGTGGTCTTAAACTAAAGATAGAATGTACCAAAATATCATTTAATCTTGTGGTCTTAAACATGCCATATGGAAAGTTGAAATTAAAGAGTGGTTAAAAAAGGAAAGTAACATTCTTTTTGAAATGGACTAAAAAGAAAAGTAAGACTAAGACAAACAAATTGAAATGGAAGGAGTATTAAGTTGCTTACCACCAATGCTCTTTGCAGCATCTTTTAGGCTACCAGCAAAATACTGCTGAAGAACTTGCAAGGTAATAGTCTTCTCAGCCTTCGCACGTCTCCTGTCTCCCGTTTTACCCAGATTACGAGAGACACCCTCCTCATAAGCAGCATTCTTACGGTGCCTAAACTCCACCGAATCTTTCCTTAGCATTTCATCTGGTTTTTCATCCTGGAATGTAGACATAACAGAACTCTCCTGGAACTCTGCATCACAAGAGGTCCACGATGTCCTTTCTTGAGAAGTTTCGGTGTGCTCTTTATGTGGTTGAACTGTGTGGTTTGCCACTTCGCCCATAGAATCAGTTTCTTCCTGCAACTCTTTGTCTGTCACAACCCTCAATGTCCGGCAAACATTTTGTATGATGATGGATAATGAAGTAAGCATTTTTCTATGGTCTTCAGGATTTCTGCAGTCTGTGGGTAGAAAGAACTCCAAAACAAAATCAGATGAACCAGTTGAGATACTACGCAGACGTATAGCTACTGCAGCTTGCAGTCCAAACATTTTTGCATAATGAGAAAGTGGATACTCCGACTTGCTATAAGAGGTAAGATCAGCTGAAAAGCATGGTTGATTAGTATTGAATGCTCTCCCAACAACACCCTGCCCTTTCAGCAAATGGTGCTCAGAGCAAGCATCATGAAAACCCTGAACGCGGGGGTCAGCTACATAGCAAGCAGAATCCTCCGTGGAAACACAATGAATAAGGTTTTCCTCAGAATGGCGGCAACCCCCTTTGCCTTGTTGAATGCACGGAACCCATGTCTGAGCTAACGGCAATCCATGTGTCTCACATGCAGACTTCAGAACCTCTAGAACTTCAGGTAATGCAGCTTGGTAGCTCAAATCACATACCTGATGAAAAATAGTTCATATATCATGCTGAAAAAGATTATGGACTTCAAAAATGCATTCTTTTGCAAGTTCAGACCAATTACCTTGGCATCTTGAGTGGTTGAAACTTCGGAAGTCGAGAGATCAACAGCCTATTAAGAAGTAAGAAATTTGGAAGAATTTCAGAAAACTGGACCCTCACTATATATACCAAAATGTGGACAAACAAAGCAATTCCATATGGAGAACAAAAGCAAGACTCATGCACACTAAACACTAACACCAAAAGATCATGATCAACAGAGTGCAGCTTAGGTACAATCTGACCCCTAGCCAAGAGCAGTAATGAGGATTAAATAAAGGACAAAAACATCAAATGATTAGAGAAATTAGCAAAGTGAAGATATACAACAACAACATACCCAGTGTAGTCCCACACGTGGAGTCTGGGGAGGGTAGAGTGTACACAGATCTTACCCCTACCTTAGAGGTAGAGGGGTTGTTTCCAATAGACCATCGGCTCAAGAAAAACAGTCCAAAGCATTCCAGAAAAAAGAAGTAACGAAAATACAAGAAACAACAGATGGTAGCATCATAGTACTAGTCTACAACAAAATAATACTATAGTCGAAGTACATGAAACAATAGATAGCAACAGAGATCGAAGGACAAGAAACTACAAGAGTAATAATATGACTACAGGAGTAATATTATAGTTTCATTCTCAAAAAAAAAAAAAAAAAAAAAAACTTTACTATTATCGTCTCAATCTCTGTAACTTTTTTCATCTAATATTCATTCATTTGGGGATTGATGTTTCATCTTGAGTCTTTGTGAAATATGTTTTTATACATGAAGCACATAAAAATATAGCAGTTTTGGAAACATATATGCACAAATTATAATACGCAACACTGAATAAACACCTGCATATATATAGTTCCACTACTTAGCTAAGTAGGGTAGTGAAAACAAATTAGAGGGAATTGATAGTTTCTGAGAGATAAAGAAGACAAACCTCAAGAGCTTTGCACACACTTTCAAGCTCTGAGCGATACTTGATCTTCTGTGTGGTCATGACAACTTCAATAACACCCAAGCAGTTACGACTACCTTGTTCAAATACAGGAACAGCAAGAGTGCCACGTACATCATACTGCTGTGCATGTTCAACACGCGGATACTCTTCACTTCGGAAGAATCTAACATCCGGTGTCCACTCAGGAACTTTATCTGCAAACACTCGCCCTGGCAATCCAACAATGTCCTTGGAATCTTCATTTGCAGGAAATTGATATTTTACAGAGACTTCACGGTAGTTAGCAAGCTGAGGGCAATTGAGGTCTAGTAAGAAAGGTTGATTAGTTGTGCTGAGCACACGCCTGCCATCCCTATTTATCGGTACCCATAGTTGAAGTAGGATACCCTTATCCCTCGAGCAATCTCTTATGTACCCAAGTGCCCAAATCAATCGATCCATTACAGACGATGAAGCTTTGGGTCCAATCCACCACCTTTTGTTCAACTCAGGAGCTTCAACTAAATGATTTTCAGATAGACTTGAAGTGCACATGGCATTGTTCATATTCTCACCAAAAGACTGAACTTTAGCATAATTTATCTCTTGGCAATGGTTTATCGACAAATTTTCAGTTAAAGATGGCCTTTGCTTTTCTTGTTGGGCATCCTTTGATGAGATTCCATTAAATTCTACATTGTTGGCATCTATAGTTGTAGGCCACATAAAAGAAGAGTCGAATGGTGCATTGAAGATGCCTGGACTATGTTGCAAGAATTCATTACCATCAGTAGTCTCCAACCAACATCCCTCTAAAAATAGTCCATCCATGTAATCCAAATCCATGAGATAATCAGATGGGGTTGTCAACAACGGATTCGAAGGAATAACGCGTTCATCCATTGCATCAAATCTGTCTTCAAATTCCAAAGATCAGTACTGTACTTGATCCAAATTTATGATAATCACTAATCAGTCCTTCCGATACAATCTATTCTAAAAAAGCTCCAGTCTTGAAAAACCAAATCTGCCAAATTTATGTTCTAACTGAGAATCAGCAGTAAAGCAAAAAGGATAGAGGAACCAAAGAATATAAAACAACAACAACAAAAAGAGGATATTTAGCTCCAAGAATCAAATATATGAAGAAATCAACATATTCCACCAAGTTGGGTTTTGTAATCTTGGTATACATATCCTTTTCCAAAGTCAAAAAAAGTAGAAAAAGAAAATAACCAGCTACCACCAATTTATAGATCTATCAATACAACAGTGCCTCAAACAAAAGAAAGTTGCAAGAAATGAGGCCAAAAAGAGGAAAATGAACAATTCATTAGATTACTATGAACATGACTTGGCTTCATCAACATAAACTAGTCATATGTATGAGACATAAAAGGCAAAACTGTTTCTAGCCATAGGAAAGTAAGTGTGTGCAAGATGATTTGATCCAAGTTGAAAACACAGACAAAATAGGAATGAGAAGAAGAAGAGGAGAAGGAACTCACTATGAAAAAAAGATTCTTGGATATTCCAAATTTGCAAAGGTCAAAACTTTCCTGTTTCTTTATGCTGTAAAAATGTAAACTTTGCTGAGAAAATTTTCTTGTGGTTGTCTAAGAAACAACAACAACATCAGCAACAAAACAAAAACATATGTAGGGACTAAATGTCCCTCTTATATCTCCCTCTTGAAATTCCCTCCACAACCCACAATCACAAATTAAATCCCCTTATTCTCTCTCTTACTATCTATTTGTCTTAGTTATTATCTGTCATTAGCTCTCTTGAATATGATTCCCTTCAAGCAAAGTCTGCCTACAAGAGAAGATTCCACTTACCAAGTACTGACCCCACCACCTACTCCCCCCCCCCCCCCCCCTCAACCTCTGGGGATTCCCATTTATAAAGTCAACCTACAAATCAAGAAAACAACCCCATCTAATCCAAAAATCAAAAAAAGGAAGCAAAAATCATTTGGTATTGTAAAAAGATTTGATTTTTACACTCTTTATTAGCTCAAGAATACTCAAAATGGGAAAAAGATTTTATTTTTATAGTTTTTATAGACTCTTTATTAGCTCAAGAAAACATAAAATTGGAAAAAAGTTCCTTTTTTCTTCTTTTTTTGGTGGCTTTGTGAGTAGAGAATTGTGTGTTTGCCACTTTCCTATTTACCCCATTACTATATTTAGATGCTTTGTGACGTAATTCAAGAAAATGTTAAAATAACAATCAACTTGCTAAAAGGAAAACAACTTTTTTCTCACGCGCTGGTGATAGCGCGTGTTACATCTTGATAAAAGTGACGTAAGAAACTTCATGCACAAAATAAGAGAATGTCATTGGGGCGTGCTTATAAGCCATAATTAGAGCGCGTGAGTGATTAGTAATAGTTTAATGTTTTAAACATTATGGGTAATCAGATTTATGACAACATTTTTGTGTAGTTTTAGGTAGTGTTAAATACAAATCTCAACTCCACAACCAACACATTAGGACCACATTTAGGAAGGCTATATTTAATAGCAAGTTGGAATTAACCAATTATATTTTTTAAAAGATAACTATGTGTAAACGAATCACAGTTAGTAATCTGAGAAATAAAGCAAACAATCCACTTTAATTAATTTACATGAATAGCATAATATTAATCTGAAAAATACAAGAGACAGACATGTATGTTTACACAAATGGTATTGAATCAAGATGGATGCACTTTATTCTCACAATACTACTTGTGACTTTTTATTAAATAAGCCTTCAAAATATTGAGATTGCTTTTGAAAAATCTTGCATACGCCATTACACTTGGGATGTAAGTTAAAATTGCAATGAATTCTCAATATATAGAGAGTTTATTTAATTGATCTAGATTGAGAATTAATTGGTACTTTTGGTTTTAGTGTGTTTGATCAGGAGGACTGGCATGAATTGTCAGAAAAGAATATAGTTTAAATTTTGTCAAGAAAAAATAATGGATAGATAAAATATCACTCAAAAAGAGAAAAAAATATAGAAACATGTGAAACTCCATTGAAATGATAACCCATCTTCTTCTTGTTAATTTTCCATTTTTTTAATGAAAAAATAAATAAACATTTTAAAGTTTTTTTTTTTTACTAATTACCATTATTATTCTGCTTTTAGTTTTCTTCTTTCATGTTACTTTTGATTATATATTATAAAATCCTTTCTTTCCTTGACTACAATTATTGTTGTTGTTATTATTAATTGTATTTTTATGTCAAATATTCTAAAATTAACCAAAAAGAGACTCCACTTGCTATTATTTATCAATTATTAATGTAATTAAAGAGATGGAACCAAAGAATAATGTAAAGAAATGGCAAGTTGTTCCATCAAACTCACTTTGGAATCATCACTGTCCAAATTAAAGGGCCCTTCACATGCTAATCCTCTAATTAACAAAAAATAAGCTTTCTTTAAAACATAATTAACAAAGACATTAGTTTAACAATACCAACTCCAAACTTGTGACACTATACTTTCAATTGTAACGGATAATAATTAAGTTGTAACTGGTAAGTCGTTTTGTAACACTCTAGTTTAAATTGTAATGGTTAATAATTGAATTGTAAGTGATAAGTCACTGTTATTATTTATGTAAACTAATAATGTAAAAATTATTAAATTCATATTATTATTTTTGTTAAGATAAAAAGTATTAATTCCTACTCTGGCTGATAATGGAATTCCATCCAGACAAAACATTTTTATAAAAAAGTCTGTTTTCTTTTTGGCTTCAAGTCAACATGATGTCCACTATCTTTTAAATTAGGCTACTGTTTTTAAAAGTATTTGGGATCATACGTAATCAATATAAACAATTAATTAAAAAACTATAGATTTGATCCAAAGTATATAAATAAAAACAATTATGACTCTCACAATCCATAAAAAAATAAAAACAAAAACTTATTTTAAAGTGCATAGATCTAAACTTATGGCAGCAATTTAACTTGTATAATGCTTCATTACGCAATCGACCAAATCTGTCATGTCCGAATCGGACAAACACAAATGGCCCCTAACGTCATAATTTGTACTTTTAATGTTATTCCGTTTCGTTTTGATTTATCTGTCTTATTTTTATTTTTAATCAATTTAAGAAAATATAGTACCATTTTTGTTCTTGATTTTTTTAAATTTGATAAATGGTCTCATTTTTGTGAATTCTATATTCTATTAGATTAAGATTTCTAAAATGAAAGAAAGAGAATATAGTATAAATATATTCTACGATGATGCTAGACTAGATATAAAAATTAAGCAAGAAATGTTTTTGGCATGTAGTAAAAAGTAAGATTAGATTAGACCTTACTCCTTATATGCGATACAAATATGAATCAATCGAGTGAATAGATTCCGCAAATACGATATGATCAAAACTACAACTCAAAAAAAAGAGAGGATATTATCCGTAGTAGTTATAATATCAACCATGACATGATATTTTGTCTATAAAAACATACTTGTTAAAGGTATATTTAGAAATTTAAAATTATATTATAGCAACTTGCATTGTGGGTTGTTGATTGATATTGAGCATCACACTATTTAATTAACAATACTTATATTTATATTACTTCTACAATCAAAAAAATTACTCTTAATGTTTCTAATTTTGCTTTTTGGTTGTCAAACTTGAGAAGTTCAACTATCAAATTAATAAATTATAATTACTCTTAACCTATGACGTATTAAGCCTATTTGATCTGAAAATTAATTTTAATTGTCTATTTGACCTTGAGTTTTTTTTTCATTTGACTTTTACTTAAATAATTTTTAAATTATTATCTTAATATTTCCTTAATTTGCATGAACATATATTATTCATAGAATATAAAAGTCAAATTAATAGCTTATACTACATACGCAATCAAATGATATCAACATATTATGATGAGTATTATCTGGTGTAGTTTTTACAAATTTTGAGAATTTAAATGCATTTTAATACCATATTCCAAATAAATCCAACTTTGATTTGATGTTCTATTTTTATTCCTTTGAGGTGTGATTTGAGGAGTGTAAAATGTATACATATCGTACCCCTTTCTGGGAGATAGAAAGATTGTTTTCGATAGACTCTCAATTCCAAAAAAAAAAAAAAACATTCCAAAGCATCTCATTTGTACTTCATATACAAGAATTCTAAATAAGAATTTAAGACTTAAAAGATGAATTTAACTAGACGTGTTTTCCCAAGGCGTAAGGAATAATACACAAAGGATAGTCTGGAAACGCATGTAGTTCACCAAGTGAGCTTAGTCCTCAATCTATGTATCGAAATATTAAACGACCTTTAAAATGAAGGTAAAATACATATGAAAATTCCTCAACAAAATTTTTCATATTCGATACTTCTGAATTCAATTTTGTAAGAGCTTTTGTGCATGTTTTTTAACACCTATAACATATTTTAAGTGATTAACTTATCTATGCACAATTACACGCATAATATTTTTTTTTGAATCGAAACCATCTAATATTATCATTAATAAAAAGTTAGTCCCCACGTAGTAAGTTGACAATATAAATAGTTGTACTTAGTTGTGCAATCGTGATTACCTATGCTATTAGTTTTAGCCCCAACCAATAATATTAATTAAGTGTTTGCATTGCACTCTTCAACGCTTATCTTCTTGTTTTTTTGACTTTATCTTATCATATTTGTGTACCTAATTATTATAAAAGTTGATTATTAAGACTATATTAATGATAAAGTGGACAGGTGGCACCTTCTAATTGGTCAATAAGGATTCTACTAAAGATACCAAAGCAAATTTGTGATCCTACTTTATTCCATCGTATCGTATATCGATTCAAATTTATTTAACCCACTAAGCATAGGTATCGTGACAACAATAAACATATATAGCTGATGTGGCAATGACTACTCCCTTCTCAATATATTTGCGTACACAAAATTTTGCACAAAAAACAATAAAATCGATCAATATATTATCACGATTCGATCGAGGAATAAGTTAAGGTTGGCCTATATATTATCACAACTCGAGTGAGTGATAGGATGTCTTTCCTATTGCTTTGATATTTTAATCCATAGTTTCAATTTTTTTGGGTATATTGAAAAATAAATTGAATAAAGATTTTTAAAACGTTTACGACTTAAATCTGTTAGGATAAGAAACTCCATAACCTAGGTGTTGGGTATAACTTGTCATGATTATGTCTATCATTTGCTAGATTAACAACACACTAGTTGCCTCCGTCCATACATGTCAAATCGTGGCCTTGTTGACCTTCAATAAATATCTACAATCTTCAATAAAAAGTCGAATCGGATTGAGAATTAGCATACAACCCAATCACCAAAGAGAATACTCTACCATAAGAAACAATGTTTTCTTGGATTACTCCTTAATTAATAGGACACAACACATTTGAGTTATCGCCTTCACCAAAGAGAAGCACAGTTCATGCAAAACATTGCAATATTTATCTCTCTTGGGATCTACATGGGGCGCAGACTAAATGAACATCTAAGGGAAAGAACTCAGATCTGTGTGTTTCATGAGTGACTTGAGAAATGGATAAAGACCTCAACTCAACTGCAGGAAGATCTTTCTTTCTTGCCTGCAATAACAAAACCACCAGATAGCCGATGTACCAAACTAGCTGTCCCGGTGCCCATGATCTGTATCTCTCTCCTGGCTGTTTGAAGTTGTTCTCTTTCTCAATGATGCACTGAAAAAACAACCATATTGAATGAGTTTCATAACACTTTCGATGACATGTAGATTCCTCCGATATCTGAAGTTCAAAATGGAAACTCAACCTAAGCATCATTTCCAAATACCAGCAAGCCAAACTTGCCAAAGACTGATAACCATATTCAACAAACAATGAGAAAAACAGGACTAGGAGGAGTGGGCAATATCTATATTCAACAGTGGACTGGATGAAGTTCAAATTGGTTGGACAAATCTGGTTTATGAAAATCAAAGTTCAAAATTTCAAGCTGAACAACAATTCAACAAAGTGTCAACTGACCACGCTCTTCGGTCAAGACACAAGGAGGAAAAGTGGAGAATATCAATATCCTACAGTGGACCAGATAGGGTAAAAAATTGGTTGGTCACAACTCACACCTGATTTATGAAAATCGCCTTCACACCAAAAATTCAAGATTCTCAACATGATTAATAAAAGTAAAGAGTGCATCACCTTGTCGTGCTTCGTTGTCAAGGCAAGGAGGAACTGTTTAATTCTCTGCATAACAGCAAGGACCAAACCTTGACAGGAGATAGTGCAGCATCCAGTTAAAACATCAAAAGAGTTAGAACACATATGCACCATTAGAGTACTGTGGGAACCAAAGGTCATTTTTCTTCACAACATGGTGTCATAATCAGATCAAAATACCTACTTCTGCCTTTCTAAGTTCACATATACATACACACCACAACAACTAGTGTAACAACATGCTTGAAACTCTTTTTCCCTGTGAAATAGATAAAACATTATTACTTTAGCAATTCACTGAAAAATTACAGTGCCAACAACTTGCAGGGGAAGCATGCACTATACCTCTTCATTAGGATACATGAAATTCATGAAACCTTCATGGTGATTATAGTGACAACCACACGTCGGAGCATTGACTGGGGGCTGCAGATAGTTTGGCTCGAGGCAGAGTATGAGAATATCCTAGTCAGGGAAATCTTTATCATCCTAATAGTAAATATCAGGGACAACAATGGCAGAGCAAAAAGCAAGCTGCTCGTTGGAAAAGTTGCATGTTAAATAGTCAAATAAGATTCTGATACGACAGCAAACAATTTCTTTTTTGAGAAAGATAACAGTACACTAATCATCAGCACAAAGGCTGTGTTGGAGTCATATTTACAATTACAAACGAAAGTAGAAGTGCGACCTTGTTCTATTACAAGGATCCTAATGATTATAATAAGAGTTTTAGCTTCCTCTCCGTGATTTTCTTCACATTAAAGTTAAAGTAACAAAATACAATTCATTTTCATTCTCTGGGTGGGGCTGCTTCAATCTTCAAAACACCTTGCGTTCATTTCCTTCCACATATTCCACCATATGCATGCTGGGGTCTCCACTTCTTCTGCCTAACATTACCTCCCACATTAATCCAGCACATCATATGATACCAAACAATTTCCGATTCTGCTTTATTCCATTGTATGGTATGTTCTAATTCACTGTACTCAATCCAACTTCTTTTTCTTTTTAGAAAGTCAATCAAAACTTAAAGTCTCAACACAGAAAACCTACACACTACCAATATCAGGAATTATACAAATTCCCCACATATCATTCAAAATTGAGTTTTCAACAATGAAAAAGTTCACCCTTCACCAATAGCAAGCATAAGCATCATCATGATAACTAAGTGTATTCGTCCTAAATTGAGTGATCAATTGACTAATTAGATGTGAACTACTTCATTTAACCATATTTAGAGGTAAACGATGATATTTAACTATATTTAGTGATCAATTAATAACTCCAATTACATTCTTAACTAAGTTTCTCGGACTGTTCACTTTTGGTGCCGCACCCGTGTCGAACATGGGTGTGGGTGTGGGATCCGTGTCCAATTTGGTCAACCGATTTTGGGTACTTTGACCAAAATCGACGGGGAAAGTACGGATAGTTTTAATGATTTATGTAATCAATATAAAATTTAAGGTGAAATTGAAGAAAATGGGAATATACCCTTTTATATAGAAATTTCTACATTACTCCTTTTCCTTTAATCTCATTCCAAGATTCTCCTCATAATATCTCATAATTTAGGTTTTATAACTCTATTTTAGATATTTTAATTATTTTTAGGCGAATCCCCGTACCCGCATCCATACATGAATCCATATCCCCGAATCTTAAAAGTAAGATCATGAAGGATCCGACCTCTAGATCAGCACCCGTATCGGACACCCCCAATCCCTTATGCACCACGCCATACTATCTGCATTATGACACTATGTTGTCATGCATCAAAGTGTCTGGAGTTGTCACACTAGTTTCGATTATCAAATGCTCAATTAAAGGCAAGTGAGTACGACACACATGTGACACGTGACCATTGTCATTTTGGGGAAGATTCTCTTTCCGCCCATTAGAACTCATCGTTCATTAAGCAAATTTCTGACTAGTGATTAAACATGCCACTTTGCTTCAATAACTTGGGAAACAACTCTAAGATACACTTAATGTGATAAAGGAAATCCTCCTCTATGTAAACTAATATTGCCAATTTGCCATCATACACATTTATGACTCCCTCCTTGATTGTAATTTTAGAATCACAAAATACTTTTTATCCAGGCTCATTACAGTCAAAATCCTCTTAGCACCACAATCCAATGCCAGCCACCTAGGACTCTACAATAATTGTGCATTTCATCATCCCATTTGAAATCAGCAAGTCATTGCTCAAACTTCCTGGCATCCAGAGTTGTCGCTTCCTCACTCAACTCTTAGTACCTCTTCATGAAACTATTGTAATAATTGAGGTCCAAAATTCAATCTTTGAGATCATAGTACTCAGTGAATTTGATGTGCCTCACACGCATGAGCGGTAGGATTTCCAAAATTTAGGACGAATACACTCGGTTCCAAAATTTAGGTGTTGGGAAGTAGCTGATTACAGGTAGTAATTATTCAGAAACTATTGGAGATACCTACTCTTTGAACTGCCAGAGGTAAATATAGAATCTAGAGTTATGGATTCAAAATGAATGTGATCTTATATGTACACATTTTAAATATCTTTTGCATATATATACACACACAAACGCATAGATTCACGCTTATCAAATGATTCACAAGGGAATTGTAGGCTGCAGTGAAAGTTACTCATGTTATTAAATACAATTACGAAATGGAAAGACTTGTTGCTATCTTTTTGCTCATTTCTGAATGTCTCAGATTGAGATGTTTCAAGGGAAAGTAACTTTTCAGAATGGTTATTAAATGACTTCTGAAACTTCCATTGTCAGTTAATAAGCAGTTTAAGCAACTACTCGTATTTATCTCACAAGTAGCAATTTAGAAATCCCAGCATGTTGAAGTATAAATAGTTCCTTAATGTAGAAAAAATCCTCTCAGGAACATCAAAACACATATGATTTGATTAGTCCAATTGCTGTTTGCAATAAACATAATACAAGCTACAGAAGTTGCAGACCAACCACAATAATGCTGACTAACTGAATCCCACAGACGATGTGAATTCCAGTTACTTCTATGATAATAGAGCCCTAGGTGCAAGAGATAGCAAAAGCTATTCAGGTTTAACTACTGTCAGTAATAAGCCTCTTTTTTCGTTTTGGGAATAAAATGCCAAAAAAAGGAAAATCTTTACTTGGAGAAGGATGTAGCTAGCAGGAAGACTGAATAAGATGATACTTGGGCAGCTGCTTGAAGCTTGAACGAGAGTAGCTAATTCACACCCTTAGAATCTGAAGCTTGTTGGAGAAGGCAATGGCAACCCAATCAGGCTGAGATGAGGACCACTGAAGCTGCTCGATTTCTGCACCTGCAGTATAAGCCAGAATTGGATCCAATCCACCTTCTATTGGTTGACCCATTGAAGAGAGATCCCAGATAAGCGCCTGCGAGTCATCACCAGCAGTACAAATGTGGCAAGAGCTGTGAGGAGCCCATGCAATTGCATTCACACTAGCCTGGTGCCTCTGTAGTTCCACCACAGGAAGTGTAGGGAAACGAATGTCCAAAACTACAACCTTTGCACTGTCCATTATTATGGTGGCCATATACCTAGGATCCTGCTTGTTCCATCCAAGGCGTACAAGAGGAGTATCCGGCTCAGAACTCTCATAGATTATCGTAGAGTGCTCCTTATCGCGAAGATCAAAAACCCTAACAGACCCATCAGCTGAAACAGAAGCAAAAACTCCAACCCCACCCCAAGCAATATCATAAACCTCCTTATCATGAGCAATTAACTGGGTATCGACAGTCTCCCTCTCAATATCCCATATAGTACAGGTAGTATCAATACTCGACGTACCAATCCGCCTCGGCTCAGCTTCATTCCAGTCAAATGAGGTTAACGGACCGGAGAACTCACTGTTCCGGTTGTTATTAAGAAGACTCTTGATTTCAACCCGACTATTATCACTGGCGACCCGCCAAATCCTGAGATAATCACTAGAGGTAGCGATAAGGTCCGGCTTCTGGCACTCCTTATCAGGTATGAAGATAACTTTCGTAGGCGGATACGGGTGTTCAAATGAGAGTTTCGGGTCGGACCGAATCTCACCATTGGAGTCATCAAGCTGCACAATCTCAACTCGGTTCGGGTACTGCTCAAGTAAGCTAGCGATGGCGAGACGGTACTTCTTATCCTTGCGAACACTCCAATTCATGGCGTATATGTGCCATGGAGCCTCGTAGGTGTAGATCTCGGAGCGTCTCTGCTGTTCGTCGGAGCCATCTTGCTGGTTCGGATCGCTGCTCACTCCCATTTCTGATTTCTTCTTCTTCCGCCGCCGCTGCCGACCAAATTAGGGCTTGAAAGTAACAAAGATTGGGAATTTAATTGATCGGGGAGAAGGAGGTGGGTGAAGTCTAAGATTTAAGAGCCAAGTCCAGATATAGTTTCAGAAATTACACTTTAACTCCTTTAATTTTACTAATGTTTATGCACGTACGATTATTTCCTTTTAATTATAAAATCAAATAAGGGACACGTGTGCATCAACTAGGCGATAATTCACTGTATCGATCGATTCGATTCGGTTTTAAGTATTATCGGTTCGATTTATCAGTTATTAAATATTTTAAATCGATAACCAAACCAATAAGATATTCGTTAACGATTTTTGGTCTTTAACGATTCGATTTTCGATTTAACCAATAAAAAAATGTTTTCAAAACAAATATATGACGTGTCCAACAATTTGATGCGAAATAAAAAAGAGAGATATCAAATTATTCATTTAGTGCAAAAATTCTGCTTAGTGTAGTAAAAGTATAGTAAATACTCACAATTCACAACCCTAGTCGTTGCCTAACTCTTGTCGTCGTTGTTGCAAACCCTACCCGTTGTTGTTCTTAGTTCTTTAGGTTTTGACGTTGTGAACCTAAGACTAAAATAATACTAAAACCTAAAGGGTAAATGCAGAAAGCAGAATTAAGTTGTGTTAATTGTGTAAGTTCCTTATAGTTATAGTCTAATATAGTGATTATATTAATATTTTTTTGTTTGATATTTATGTATGACTAAAAATTAAAATAGTAAACTATTATATTTTTAATGGGTTATCGGCTAAACCAATAACCCAATATTGAAAAATCAATATCGAACTGATAAACCAATATTTTAATAAAACCACTAAATAGTTGTTAACCCAATAACACTTTTTTCAATTCGATTTATCGGTCAGTTTGATTTTTGCACACCCCTACTCACATCCTACTTAGCGCCTTACGTAATAATCCTATATAACCGTCTTATGTGTATTATGTCATATAGGATATAATACGTGTGTGTATTTATTCAACTTTATATAAGTTTAAGTATTTACTCATGTACACCTAAAATCGGAGCGTATATGTCAATTGATGCCTAATTAAAAGACATATTTATGTATTATATCTCAATTATATATATGAATCCCAATAAAATGTAAGACTTTATGTCTGTTACGATAAATCATAAATACAGAAATAAAAACAACAATTGAACCAGAGAATGTGATTGTATTATAAAAAGAAAAAAAAGAATTTAAAAACGCAAAATAATTTTCAATTTGGCATTGATGTGGCGATGACATGGCACTAAGGTGGCAATGGCATGGCACATGTGTAATACACTTGCTATTGTGAGAGACTGGTAATGTAGTGTTAGAATTGAAAAAATTCACTTGAAAGATGTTAAGAAGGGGATTTTAAACGTCCGTGTAGTTTAAGTGCTAAAGTAAGTTGTGGTATTAAATTCAAGGTTTTTTTAAAATATATTTTCTCTATAGATTATTTGAAAATTACATAAAAAGTACTATAAATTATAATAGTTTGATTGTTTCTCAAATTTCCATTAGTACATACCATAGAGAATAAAATAATATTTATTTAAAAATACATAATAGATATTATAAATCACAATAATTAACAATTTCAAATATTTAAATATCATATTAAAATTAAGTGACTCTCCAAATTATATTTGTGTCACATAAATTAATATTTATTTGTTGGGCCCGTGCGAGCACAGGTACTGTATGTAGTATTTATTATAGATGGTCCTCCATCGTGTAGTACTTTAGAACGTCTCTTTTTAAGAATATAACTTCTTTCTAGGTCGATGCTTGAGCGGTTAATAGGATCCAACTGTATATTCATTATCAATATGTATATATCAATCCACGTGAAATGATATAACCTCTTTGTACTCTAGAAACACCCACTTCATGAGACTAAAACGTTCAATTTATTCAAGTGACAGCAACGTCAGAACTAACACAAGGAAGTTTGTTGCTACACAACCATACTACCAACCAAAACAAACATTGTTTTCTTGGATTACTTCTTCACTACAGCAACACATTTTAATCTTCACATTGTAGGCCTTATATTGAGACGAGACGCGAGCTTTTGACCAAGAGACTTGTCAGCCTGCAGCATATATATTCATGCATAACAAACATTGTTATCCTTGTGTCCTTCAGGATAAATGCGGGATTAAAGAAGCATCTAAAGGAAACAACTCTGACCTGTGACCAGTATGAGATCCAAATACTGCAAATTTCATGAGTGGCTCGAGGATCAGATAGAGCATCAACCCATCTGCACACAAATCTTTCTTGCCTGCAATCACAAGGCCGGCCGGCAGATGAGTAACTAACTGATAGGGGTGGAAAGTTGGTGACTGAAAATAACAAAGGAACTAGACTACCTGTCCGGTGCCCAAGATCTGTAATGTTCTCCTGGCTGCTTAAAGTTGTTCTCTTTCTCAATGATGACCTGCAATATACTCATCATAATTTTTAAAATCAAGACATACGGAGACTAGGTAAAACGGAGAATATATATATTTATGAAAGTTAACTTTGCACCAAAAATCAAGATTTTTTATGAAAACAATAAAATAAACTGAGCGTGTCACCTTTTCGCGTTTTCCTGTCAAGACACGAGGAGGAATAGGGTACTGCTCTGCATGACGACAAGGATCAAGCCTTGAGGGGAAATAGTTGACCTGAAACAGCATACAACATCAGGTTAACACATCAAAAGAGTAAACTATCAATACATGCACTCTTAAAGTAGTGTGGGAACCAAAATTCACAACTGGGCTTCATAATCAGACCAAAGTACCTTCTCTTGCCTTGCTCAGTTAACATAGACAACGGAATAACTAGTCTAATATGATTAACAACCCCTTCTCTTTCCTTGTGAAGTGGATAGATATTTCTACTTTAAACAATCCACTAAAAATATTACTGCACCAACAACCTCATAGCAAGGATGTACTTTACCTCTTCATCACGGTGCATGAAATTCATGAAACCATCATGGTGATTATTGTGATGAGCACACTTGGGAGCATTAACTGGGAGCTGCAGATAGTTTGGACCAAGGCGGTGTCTCTGGGTATCAGCATATGAGAATACCCTAGTTTGGAGAAGCTTATCATCCGAATAGTAAACACCAGGGACAATAATGGCAGGGCAAAAAGCAAGCTGCTCATTCTCTGCAAAGAAGTTATCGATGTTCTTATTCAATACCAAGCGACCAACTGGCTGTAATGGCAAGATGTCCTCAGGCCAGATCTTGGTTACATCTAAGGGGTCAAAGTCGAATCTGTCTTCATGATCAGGATCAATAGTTTGGATGAACAGTTTCCACTCTGGATAGTTCCCAGCAGCAATTGAATCATAGAGATCCTTGGTGGCATGACTATGATTTGCTCCACCGACCTTAATAGCTTCTTCATCCAACAAGCATTTGACTCCACAAGTTGGCTTCCAATGGAATTTCACATACTGTGCTTTCCCAGCTTTGTTGATCAGCATGTAGGTATTAACACCGAAACCATCCATGTGCCTGTAATCTTGTGGAATGCCCAGATCATCAAACAGGAAACTGAACATATGAAGACTTTCTGGATGGTGAGAGAAGAAATCAAGGATCCTCCAGTTCTCCTGAATGTGGGACTTTGGATTTGGTTTCAGGGCATGAACCATGTCAGGGAACTTCATTCCATCACGGACGAAGAAGACAGGGAAGTTGTTTCCAACCAGATCAAAGTTACCCTGAAATACAAAAACAAGCACAGATGCAGAAGTAAAGAGAAGTGCAGTATGTTTCTTCAGCCACGAACAGAAGAAAAATACTGAACCAACAAAAACAATTCACGAAAGCAGCACGTTCATGTTCAGCAAACACAAAAGAAGTGCAGTGCCTTCATTGATCAGGAAACAGAAAATGGTTATTTCCATCAGATAAAATTCATAAGAACAAGACCCGGGGAACAAAGGACACTTGATACACTTTATTGATTTTGAACACTCCCTTTTACAAGTGCATACTCCCTTCAACATCGTATTTTTTCAGAATCCATGAGTGATCAAAACCATCACAAAACAGCACCACGCGGTGTTTGGGCTTATAAACAGTTGCAGTTGGATTTCATTGAGATTGAGATTATTAATCTGAACAAATTCATATGAGCAATAGTGTTGCTGTCTAAAATTACTAAAAAGGACCAAACAAATGGAAAATCATGCAAATTAGGCATATCTAAAGGCTCAAACCAAACACTTTTCACATAGAATAAACCTTTCTTCAACCTGTTCTGCAAAATCAATTGCTGACTCCAAAGCCAGGGAGAGATGAAATATAAGTTTGTGTTTCAGCAATGCTCTCTTACCAGATTGACAGGCATACAATTTAGGGTACTGATAAATAACAGTATGACAATGAAGACATTGCAAGATAAAACTAGCATCTGATTAGAAATTACCTCTCTGGTGTAAAATTTTACAGCGAATCCTCTGGGGTCCCTGAGGGTTTCAGGGCTTCCACGCTCGTGGATAACAGTAGAGAACCTCACAATAACAGGTGTCTGGACCCCAGGAGCTCGAAGAAAATCAGCACATGTAAGATGGGATATATCATGTGTGACCTCAAAGAAACCCTTGGCACTGGCACCTCTGGCATGAACAACACGCTCTGGGATTCTCTCACGATCAAAATTGGCTAGCTTCTCCAGCAGATGATAATCCTCGAGAAGGATTGGCCCTGCAAAAAGAATAACAAGTTTCAATATTCTTATTCATGGTGTGAAATCCACTAAAACTGGAAAATTATGTAAATGTTATTACGATATATCAGAAAACTACAGAATTTTATTTGTACTGATCTCATGAAAAGCACCTCTATTACACAGGACAAATTGCATGATTTGAAATATGCAAAGAGCTATTTAGCCATTTAATCAAGTTCTACCAATTCTTGCCGGAGTCAAATTATTCAAATGACATAGAAATAGTGAAAAGTCATAATCTTGTAGTTCCCATCACAAATTGTTTCCATCTTTCAACCA